GATATAAAGTGATGAATTAATACACTAGACACATGGTTTTATTTGAACACTTTATTATGACATCGTAAAGTGATGAATAAAAACACTAAACACATGGTTTTATTCGTAGGCCTAGAGGCTAGGTCTAGCCTAGTTAACATCGTTCGTTTATCATACCGTACGTTTATTGAGCGTTACGTAGGTATTAGGTCAAAGGTTACCACAAATTTAACCCAACCTCAATTTTACGAATCCCCCGATTTTACGTACGCCCTCCGGTCCCATACCGTACGTAAAATTGAGGTTCTACAGTATAGTATAGCAAGGACAAAATTAATTACTAGATTCAAATTGAGTTCAAGACTCTTCTTCAAAGTTATAAAACTGCAGCCCATAGATCGCACTTGATTAGATAGAAATATCATTAGACTTTGGATGCAAATATGTTATCTCCACGCACCCAAAAAAATACTTGCACCTTCAGTCCTCCCATTGATTATGATCGAGTTGTTAAAAGTACCCTATTTCGCAAGCTAGCGAAGTTGGTTGTTACAAGTCAAGATGTACATAGTATTAAACCAGGGTGAGCCACCTGAATGTGGGTGCACAGAACATTGGACTTTATAAACTGGGGTGGAATTTTGTAAGAAGAAGATGGTGAGTGTGTAATCTTGCACGACCATCTTCAATTTTAGTCACAAGCCACAGGTTGGGAACAGTTAGCCATGACTGTTGTTATGGACCACGTATTGTCACACTTTGGCTTTTGACTTTATAAAAGAACATGTAGTATGACACTGGGACAGGCTAACAGATGGAAATACTGTACACTTGGTTGACATGTGAACAATTTCCAAATCCGAGGGATTTAGCGATGAGTGTCACATGACCTAACTAGGGTGTTGGATATAAACAATCCACTGACACAGCGGTGTTTTACATGGAGATTTCTATCGCAGCCGTCACTTGTTTATTGCAGTAAAGATCATCATAATTCCCAGTAAACTATACCAAAATGATTTGAAATTAAAATAAAGGATACTGTCCGCAAACATTGAGATTTTTCGACAAATGTTAGGCCTAGGCCCCTGCACATCTACAGCATGGTTAGGTATGCATGATGGTCTTTGACCCGCGAACTACGCTGCGATGTTATAGCCAGCTAAGGTTTATGAAGGATCACTTAAAACCCATTCAGTCCCATAAGCGCTTTAAGCGCTCTCTAATTATCGTCAGTAATTAATTAATTAATTAACAATAATTAAAAAAAAAACGTATGTGCAGTAATGTGTGCATGTATTTTCATTTAATATTCGAGAAAATATCAAATATTTTTATAAAAAAATTTTTCTTGGTGCTTTTTTAATTAACTTGAATGATTAGAGTAATTAAAAATATGAAATATGATCGTTATTTTTGTAATATGATACCCTTGAACGGGAAGGCGCCGCCGTCAACACTGAAGAATAAAATCGTCTAAAAATACTCTTTTTTCAAAAAGTAACAAATCTGACACTTTCCTATAATATAAATATATATTCAATATACATACTGTACCAGTTTTGGTTATTATATCCTCATATTTCCACGTAAAATTAATTTTTTTTTGTGGCTGAAAAAAAAAAACGTGGCTATCAACTTCGTCAGCGCCATCTTGGTTGTTTACAAAAATGAATACAAACCCTGACATGATCGTTGAACTTTCAAACTTTTTGGTTTCCCTGTGACATGCGCAATCATGACGTTGAGATCCATCATGTCAAGGGCTCGAAAATGACACCTTGATCGCCTATATTATCGTAATTTTTCATATTTTTTATAATTTTTTTTTTATACCAACCGGATTTTTGAAAGATTATAGGTGCGTTTTCCCACGTCTTTGTATGGGCGCTAGGCGAATAATGGATTTATGGATTTTACGTCGCGGGGAAGTTAGGCGTTTTCAGGCTACGGTGCGTAGTGCAGTGAAGGTGACTGGACTGGCTCGTAGGCCTAGGGGAATTGGCTTAGGCCCCCCTTTGGTGAAATTTTATATTATTTTTTATCTTCCGAAGTTTTTGATCAAAAATTACAAATTTAGTTTTATTTTGTAAAGGAATAATTTGTGCTGATTTGAAGATGCATTTATTTATTCTGACTGTTGAATTAGTATTTATATTAATCTTTTTTTTCAAAATTATTGATAAACAGGGCCTAAAAAATTATTTAAATAATTACTTTTTTTTTCTATTTCAAAAATTTCACAACACTATATAACCACTTATTTAGGAAAAACATTTTATTATCTTTCAATTCTTATCAAAGGAATTTGTATTACTCTAACAGAAAAAATTATATTTAATTATTTTTATGTCATTAAAAAAATTTAAAAAAAAAAAAAAATGGTGGGCCTGGATGGGTTAAATTTCAAAGCATACAATCCAAGGAGAATACTAGGATAAGTAAATAAACACTATTTTGAGCAATCCTACAGCCTTTCCTAGCCACTTACTTCTCACGTTAACAGTGGGTGGTTGTTTTCGCAACCATAACATTATCTTTTCCTATGCTATAGCACTGTAATATTTTTCATGTATACCCAAGTTAGGTCACGTGACCGCCTGTAAACAATCATCGCTAAATCCGTCTATTAGAGTAAGCACAACTCACTCACTTTAAATTCTCTATACGTACTGTAACCATGTGATGAGATTGAGTTCCAAATTAGTTATTTGATTGCCCGCATATTCTCGCCAGAGGGCGTTCTAGAAACATGCATCTAGCGATTTTCTATGCAATTTTTAGTTAATGTCTCTCATGCAAATATTTTACAGTGAGACAATGTATACAATCTGTTGGTTTAAGTTTGGTTGTCTGATGCCACCTCTCTGGGATAGATAATGAGTCTCCTACATTCATTCAAAAATGTGAACACATTCTAAATCTATAGCATTTTGAAAAATTCCCTCAAATCATATTTGAAACAGGAGAAATAAAAAAAAAAGTGCGAAAACAACTATGCATGCAAGATTCTCAAATTGAAACTGGCCTGTCATTATATTTTTATCAAAATTTTAGAGATGGGGCACTGTCTTCCAAATCTGAGTTCAAGGGATTGTAAAACCTGAAATGCTGACTTGCAAAAAAAAAAAATAAAGTTACATACACTTTGCTTGGTCTTTAATAATAATTAACCAGGAATTGCTTGAGCAAGTTAAAAAAAAAACGTTTGAATTTGTGTGTAGACCCCACACAAACCTTAACAGGCAACATATATAAATTACTCTCAAAATTATTCTGTATGAATAAGTTATATTTACTATCATTTATTTTATTATTATTTTATCTGCTAAGATTTAAAATCTCATCACAAATGTGGGTTTACACACAGTAATAGGCCTAGCGTATAGCAGAAGAGGCACTCGTGCCAAACCTACTCCATCACGAGTTAGGAAACAAGCTGGTTGGCACATTTACATTGAGATAGCTCATTGAAAACAAGCTACAAACTCGACTAGGCTTATATTATTATGTGGTCTTATAGCATTTATTTAGAGATGTGATTATTGCATTCGTAACTTATAATCTACATAGGCCTAGAATCTATGCTTAGCCAACTGCTTGCTTGCTTGCTCAAGAGCTACTGCTTTGTGGACTACATACAGGAACTCTATAATTCAGCAGCTCTACTCCGACGCGATAGTACGTACGCAAAGGCCGCAAACCAAGTCCATCAGAAAAATGCCTGCATGGACCGCCATTTTGACACCATAGCTAAAAATCATGGGTAGTAAATTGTGTTATATTAGCATTTTTCAGTAAACATCATTCAAATAAATGTAATCTGTCTATTGCTGAATATATACATAGTAAGCGCAGTCGCTTTCAATCGGACACTAGGAATAATAAAAACAGAAATTACCTTGTAGTTGGCGGGTAACAGTCGTCAAGACTACGGTGACTATGGCGTTTATTCTCAAGGCAACAGTTGCTAGTCCTCACAACAGAGCGGAAGGAAATGTAGCCATCCGCTGAACGCACTGCAATCGCCAGGGTTACTCACAATAAAATAGTACATTTTGCTCGAAACTAAAATAAAATGAAACTTAAATATATATTTCTACGTTGTATGTATTGATACTACATGTATTGTTCCAAATATATATTTTAAAGTGGAACTATATTTTAACAGTGTAGAAAAATAGGAGTGACGAGTCAGGATAAAATCTCTAGCGGACAACCGTTACAATGGCGTATACAGTATGTTCCTAGTGGGCGGTTGAGTAACGCACGGCAGTCCTTCATTTCTCCTTGACAATGTTAAACAGTTGTCATGGGGATCCATCGATGCGTTAAGAATTTGTATTGATATTGAAATAGTTTAGTGTAAATATAAATACGGATAGGGCTTACTCTACAGGCATCATTTGTAGTTCATCATCAAATCATCTAATTAGGCCTAGGCCTAAAAATATACTGGATGACGATACACAAATGACTTGGTATAGATAGGCCTACTAAGCCTAAATGTCGGACGTTGTTGTACTAGGCCCTACATCAATAATAATAATAATTGTAAATTAAAAATAACATAGTATATAGTAATAATTATAATGTGATAAATAATATAATAATAATAATATAATATTATTAAATAATATAATAATAATACAATATTATATTATAATAATATTATAATATAATAATAATATAATATAATGTGATAAATAATAATAATTTATTATAAATAAATTTATTGATAAATAATAATAATTTAGGACTCCTAGGCCTAAATTTCGGACGTTGTTGTACTACATCAATAATGAGAATTGTAAATTAATAATAATATATTATGAGTAATAACTAATGTGATAAATATTAATAAGAATTAATAATAACGATTAATAATAATAAGTATCATATAATAAGCAATTAGAGTGTAACTCCGAGAGTGTACCCGTATCCCTACCCACATCATAATTCTCCTCTGTATAAAATGCCCAAGCATCCCTTTGAAAAAATATGTAGAGGATAAAAAATGAAATAGCTTCCACCAGAAGGACCCAAAAAGCGAACGTCTTAACCAAAGACCACGATTGCGTTTTTATGTTGAGAGTATTCCTTAGACCATTACAAACCATTCTAGAAGTTTCATGATCAGAGATATACTGTCAGGTCTGGGACGAGCCATTTTAAGGACCCCCGTCCCCCGCCCCATCCACATCATACTCCAGAACGTCACAAATTTGAATAGGCTACTTTCCTTGCCATGACCCTTCAAGAAAGACTTTCAGATGCATTTAAGTTTGTTTTTAAGTTTTCTTATGTATGTATGTATGTATGTATGTATGTATGTATGTATGTATGTATGTATGTATGTATGTATGTATGTATGTATGTATGTATGTATGTATGTATGTATGTATGTATGTATGTATGTATGTATGTATGTATGTATGTATGTATGTATGTATGTATGTATGTATGTATGTATGTATGTATGTATGTATGTATGTATGTATGTATGTATGTATGTATGTATGTATGTATGTATGTATGTATGTATGTATGTATGTATGTATGTATGTATGTATGTATGTATGTATGTATGTATGTATGTATATATATATATATATATGTATGTATGTATGTATGTATGTATGTATGTATGTATGTATGTATGTATGTATTCTGGGACGTTGTAGCTGTAAATGGTCCTCATTCATACCTCAGCCAGAACGTCTACACAATTTATTCTCTTCCAGAAAGTTTCATTTAGATCAGTTGTCAATTATTGAGGTCGTTATCCGATCTGAGACGTTCTTTAAATGGTCCACACCCTACCGGATCGTCATTAAAATTTCATCGTTTCTCCCTTGGAACATGAAAAGCATTTTTTTGAAAATTAAAATCAGATCCATTTATCATTTTTTTAGATGTTTTTTCTGGGATGTTAGCAACCCCGGCAGTGGCGTAAGGCAGGGGCCGGCCGCTCTGGCGTCACGGTTTTTAGCGTTTAATGACGTAGGCTTATTTTAATGCCTTCTTTACACATTCGAATTTTTATTTAGCCTATCACTAATGAACATAAAATAAATACCAATCAAAACGAGCCAATTTTGGTTAATTGTTTGTAAAAAAATATATATTTGAATTTGCTGGGGGTGGGTGGGGTGCTTGAGACCGGCTCGGACCCATTGAGAGCATGTTACGCCAACCCGAGCCTAGATCGTCAAATGTAAAATGTCTTCCTTGTAACTTGGTTAACACTTCCAGAAAGTTTAATACAAGCTCAGTAGCTTTTGAGATAGGCCTATCTTGTGGGGTGTTTTTAAATGAGCCACATCCACACTCACTCCGGATCATCAGCAATGTCAGAAATCATGTGAAAATCTGACGCATATCGGAACTAAAAACTGCTACAAACATTATCATACAATTAATACACACAAAATTCGGTGAAATAGGCTTAATAATAATGAAAACACCAATATGAATATTAGCAATTTGTTTTAACCAGTAGAACTTGCCAATTGTAAGTAGGCCTAGGCCCTTCCGTAATAAGTTCACGAAATTCGTCAAACCTGGCGTGAAAAAAGGATGTGAAACTCTCTGTAGGCACATGCAAAATAAAGTGGTTAGTCATATCAAAGAAAATCTTTCATTCTTTCGTGGAATATAGCCCGGGATAATATATATATGTACAGTATGTTACAGGGATGAGCCAGTGAGAAGCCCCCGGCCAGCACGGCCCAGGGACGTAGCCAGGATTTTGAAAGGAGGGGGGGGGGCGCCGTTATGCGAGATACGTATGACCCCGGCGGGGTCCAGGGGGACAACCCCCCCCCCCGTGAAGTAGTGCACTCTGAACCTTTTAAGGACTGTTTTGAGAGGATAAAGTGAAAATTGTATTAGACACATCATAAATAATATTAGTAGGCCCAGCAATAATTATAATCAACAGAATCCATGAATTCGAAAGAGGGGTGTCCCAGGGAGGGATTTTCACAGACTGAGGAACCACCCACCCCAGCCCCACCATGGTTGGGGCTGAGGTAAGAAAATTTATGATTAGGGCACCTCTAGATGGCCGGAAATTACACTTTCATACTTACATTTGAATATATTTTCCTTATTTTTTTCCTCAAAAAAAAAAAAATTCTTATCTAAAATAGTCATAATCACGAAAAAAGGACATGAAAAACCAGATCACATTCTAAAAACAAATTTATGCCCCCTCTCCTCAGCAGTCACAAGACATACTCTGAGTCAGGTGCCGACTCGATGCAGTTTAATGTCATACCCAGAAGGGCGCAGATCTGTTTTGTAAGGCTGAGGGGGAGGACATTTTGGGATTCGGCACCTACCTCAGTCTCACCATGGTTGAGCTGAGGAGCGAAAATGTGAGGAAATAGTACCTCTAGATGACCAGAAACAAAACTTTTAGTAAAATTCATTATTATCACATCACCGTTACCGGTAGTCCAAATGAAGCGCCAACAAAAAAAATCTCATGGTCTTTTTTATCAGGGGTTTTCTGCAACCAAAAAGATCTTATTAATGTGTGTGATATACCATAGAAAACAAAGCTTAAAAACATTGTCTTTGAGTATGTTGTTTACATACTTCAAAACCGTGATTTCACTTTGAGGAAATAGTACCGGTACCTCTAGATGGCCGGAAATCACACTTTCACGTAGTAAAATTCATCATCATCACATCACCATTACATAGTCAAAATGAAACCCCAACAAATTTCTCATGTACTTTATCAGAGATTTACTTGATATCCAGGACAACTTGACCTAACTATAATTAATATATAAGCTTATAACTATCATCAACAAATCACAACTTTATTTTTCGCCTTTAGCACAATTTCCTTCACATTTTAATATTATTAATATTACTATCAATTATCATCATCATCATCATCATCATCATCATCATCATCATCATCATCATCATCATCATCACCATTATTATTATTATTATTATTATTATTATTATTATTATTATTATTAGTAGTAGTAGTAGTAGTAGTAGTAGTAGTAGTAGTAGTAGTAGTAGTATTAATATTATTTATTATTATTATTACTATTATTATTATTACTATTACTATTATTATTATTATTATTATTATTATTATTATTATTATTATTATTATTATTATTATTATTATTATTATTACTAATAGTAGGCCCTATAGTATTATTAAACAATAGGCCCTACTTTAAAGAAGCTTGCAAAAGGATAAAACCAAACTGAACCATATACAGTATCACATTTCTGTATCTTAAAAGACTTGGCCTGGGATTTAAGGATTTTTAAAAATCACGCTTAGCGTAGTAGGACAGGCCTGTGTAAAACGAGTAGGGTACTGATGCATTTTTACGTATTTTAGAAGTATTCATTTTGAGTTGTCCCAGGAAATAATTTGTATTGGCTCAAAAAAAACCTTTAAAATTTTTACACTTTGTACAAAGGAGGGGGGAGCCGCGGCTCCCCACTGGATACGTCCCTGGCCCGGCCATTATTTCCCCTCCCCTATACCATCGGGGAGAAAAACACACTACGTTGGGGAGAAACACAACATTTAGGCCTAGGCCTATATATAGTTTTTACATATTAGAGTAGACTGTTTAAATAAGCATTTGTTCAAACCCCTAAATTGTCACAGTCTGACCCAAACGCTAAAAGAAAGAGGGACGGGCACAGACCTGCTTCAGCGTTCCAACTTTTACCTTTAACTTACCTGGGTTACGCCCCCTGAATCTTTTCCTATCAATTCTGAGCGACGCCGCCAGACCACGCCCACTCTTACGTTAGGTAAATTCATCTATGCCTGTAAAGTCGATCGCCGCCTAAAATCGTTTATACATTACGTATTTGCAGTTGGGTGTACAGTTCTGTAGGCCTACAGCAAAGCAAAAATTACTGAAGATGGAAAAGTTAGGCCTATAAAGTAAAGTTAATGAAGTTTCGTATCAATTATCAAACGACAATGAATGCATGTGACTAGCATAATTAATAGTGTCGTTGTATTTCAATAAATATATCCAAATTGTAGTTTAAAGAAATTATTGCTGTTTATAGATAAATACGCTAGTATATAAATGATTGTTCCATAGAATTATATTTCGATGACTGGTTACCCACCTACCATGTCCGAAAATAACTACAAATAATTTGTTATAATGACAATCAAAATTCTTAACACCATGTGACATAATGCATTTCATTTTTGTGTTTGCCTGTTGTCCCC